GTTGCCGCCTGACTTCTCTCCTCGGCGTGGTTTCTTTTCTTTTGCCTAATCGGCTCCTTTTTGGGATCCACGACGAGCTTGTGGACAGCTAGATCCGGGCTGATGCCTGGCATCTCTTCTACTTCAAAGGCAAAGATGTTTTTGAATTCCTTTAACAAATTGTGCAAGTCTGCACTCAGCTTGGCAAGAGCAGCCGCCCCAACCTTAACAGTACGCTTCGGACGGTTGTCGTCGAAAGCAATATCAACATGTTCACCAGCCGGCTGGGGACGAAGTTCATCTGACTGTTCCTTGTTCAGTGATTGCTATTGCTTCTCTTTTTCCACGGCCACCAATCGGTCGGCCTTTCTCTTCTTACCGGCTGTTGTTGGAGTAGGCTCGGCTTCCTTGACATCGCCAAGGTCTATTGGCTCCTCACCCCGGCTGGCTGCGGCCACTGTAGGCTTGACGTCTGAGAGGTAGCACTCTCTTGCCGTCTTCTAGTCCCCGTTCAGGGAGCCAACAGACCCATCATCCTTCTCAAATTTCAACAGCATGAGAGATGGAATAATGACGGCCTTGTATTCGTTTAGAGTCGGGCGGCCCAATATCAGATTATAGGCGGTCAACTCTTCCACGACCAAGAACCGGACAACCATGTAGAGTCCCTCTCCTTTCTCCTCCAGCCGGATGGGTAAGTCAATCTGTCCGACTGGGTGCACAACCCCACCCTCAAAGCCAACCAAGGGGTGAGACACTTTGTGCATGCTGCCGGGCTTGTACTTCAGCTTTGCCAAGCACTTGTAGCTGATGATGTCAGACAAGCTTCCAGTGTCAATGAGGATCCGGCCGACCTTCTGGTTGGCCACTTTGCACTCAATGACAATGGGGTCATCATGCGGTCGGCGGACCTAGCCCCTGTCTTTTTTAGTGATGATGACCTCAGGGAAGGTGTCAATAGACGCTTGCCCCTCATCAACTGAATTGACATCCAGGCATCTGACATGGTCCTTAGTGCCCTTGATGGTTAGGCCCCCTCAAGCAAAGCCGCCTGTTATTGTGTAGATCGGCTCTTTGTCAGTGTCTGAACTACTAGTAGGTTGGGCATCCTTTTTGGACGTCTGCCCGCGATTTGTCTTCAGGGTCACCTTAGACTTTAAGATGTAAGACTTCAACACCCCCTTATCAGCCATACGGTCGAATAACCGCTTAAGACTATAACAGTCGTTGGTGTCGTGGCCAATATCCTCATGGAAATGGCAGTACTTGTTTTTGTTCCGATTTTTGGCGGAACCTTTCATAACAGCGGATTTCTCTATGGTCACCCGGTCCTTTATCTCCATGAGGATGGAGTAGCATTCTTTGTTAAACTTGTACTTTGGGACTTATGGTTTAAACTCTTTCTTTTTCTTCTGGACGGCTGATGAGAGTCGTCAACCGCCCAGATCTCTTTTCTCTTCTTACTCTCTTCAGCTTTTTTAGCTAGTTGAGGTTGCCGACTCTCTTTTTTGTCAGACCTCTTGGAGTCCTACTGCTTGCTGATGGAGCAGAGCTCGATCGCCTGTATATAGGCTTCCGCCTCCATCAGCGCTTCCTGGAGGGTGGCAACCCTCTTTCTGACGAGGTCAAACTTAAAAGTCGACTCGTCCTTCAGACCCTTGAAGAAGTCTATATAAGCTACATCGTCAGACAACCCTTGAATCTGGATTCTCACCAGATTGAACCGCCTGACGTATGACCTCAGCCCTTCTGTATCCCCCTGCTGCACTACACCCAAGACAAGACTTGTTTTCTTGGCAGGGATATTCATAGAGAAGTTAGAAGTAAACAAGAATGCCACCGTCTTGAAGTTATTGATGCAGCCAGCTGGCAAGTTGCGGAACCATTATTGGGCGATGCCCTTTAATGTAGCGGGAAGCAACGACACCAGGTGGCGTCATCTAACCCCTGCAAGTACATGAGGTTGGTGTACGCCATGAGGTGGTCTTCAGGGTTGATGGTACCATCATAAGTACCCACCATGACATTCTTAACCTTAGCTGGTTGTGCCGCCTCGGTAATTTCCTTAAAGAACGCAGAAGGTTGTTCCCCAAGTTTTAGCAGACGGAGCTGCCAGTCCAAAGGTAAGACGTTTTGTGCCGCCTGACCCCCAAAGAGGGTCGGCTGCATGTAAGGTTGTTCATATGACATGTATGGATGCTGAGGCACATACGGGGCCGAATGGATCATTTGAGGGCCAGTGTAGACTGACAGGCCGCCTGACTGACTCTCTCGTACAGATTGAGAATATCTCATTGAGGTATTCTGGAAGCTGTTTGGGTAACTCGACGTTGAAGATGACTCATACAGTTGTTGGTTTCTCTTCTGCTCGATTAGGAACCAGGCATCAGAGTATGTCTTCTTTGAGCCATCCGACTGGACATGCCGAATTACCTTCCTCTTCCCTGTCTCAGGGAATCAGATCTTGAAAAGATCAATCAAGGGCCGCTTCCCCTCCTTTGATTTAGGATGCGGAGTGGGCTCTCAGTCCATGGCTGGCTTGTTCTTCTCAGAGTGAGAGGGCTTCTTGACCGACTGACCCTTGCTTGGACTAGCCGTCCTCTTGGTGATCAAATCCTTGATATCTCCCTTGAAACTTGCCATGAGTTTTATCAACTCATCTCGGGTAATAGGGGCAGTCTCCTCTGCCGCCTAGGGCTGACCAGATCACTGGCCGGATGACCTGCCTGGACCCGGTTGATCATTGCCCCGTTCCCTTATATCTTTGAGAAGGATGCGTCTGGTTCTGAGTGACCCATCTGTGGCCACATAAGTTTCGACTTCAAAGTCATCAGTATCATGGTCTGAATGGACCCCAGCTTCGGCCATAGGCCGTTTCTAATTAAGAGGCGGTACAGACTGTTGTGAAACCATCTTAGAGGTAATCTCCCCACAGACGGCGCCAACTGTTTCGGGGTTTTCTGTATCTCTCGGGAGAGTTACGTCACTAAGCCTGAATTCTAGGCGCATGTACCTGCAAAACAATGGAGACTCTGACGAACAAGTTAGAGCGTGTACGGGGAATATAAAAAGGTGCAGAAAGTAAAGCGAGATCTTCTCAGATTCTGAGATCAAGTGTTTTTCTCTGATGTGAGAGAATTGATTGTGTTGAAATAATTGAACATGTCCCTAAAGTGGGGGTGAATCTCCCTATTTTTAGGGTCATTGGTAAATGTGCCCCTATCTAGGTCATTTTGACCTAGATTTGGGGGTTGCGCCGTTTTGCGGCTTTTCTTGGGAATTGGGCCGTGAAGGCCGTCTTTTTCCCCACTAATTGGGAGTGCCACATGTCAGCTAAGGAGAGGATCATTTTGAACCTCTCCTAAGGTGACATGTGTCACCCTCTCATTGGGCCACGTGGCCTGGGTATTTTTACCCAAAACAAAATCCAATTTTTTGATTTTTTTTTTGTGGTGTTATAATAAAAGTTTGAAAATTTGTGGTGTTATAATCAAACTAGATTAGACCCGTGCGATGCACAAATTACAAAAATTATTGAAATGAAATAGCTTATTTCTATAATTTATTTTCCTGTATATACTTATAAATTAGATCATAAAAGATATCTAGCTATCATCATAAATTACATGAGTAACAAAATATAAAAATGAAAGCCAGTCTGATCTAATCAAACCATATGTATACCAATTAATATACTACATATCTAAGAGTTCAAAAGTCAAAATAAAAATACTTGTAATTTAAAGATCCTAATATAAATAAATAGAAGCACCTTGGAAATACAAAACAATGCTAACATTTACTTCATAGCATCCCCTTAAAAAAAAATAAAAAAATTAATAATAACATTAAAACCTTAAAAATAAACTTCTTCGTTACATAAAAAGTTTAAGCTCGATATAAATTTATTTATTCCAACCAAAAAAAAAATATTTATTTATTTATCTATCGACAAAGTCAAAAGATTGAAATGAAAATGATTAAAAATAAAAAAAATAACCAATTCCTCAAAAAAATAAATAAATAAATAAATAAATAAATATATGCACACACACACACATAAATGCATTTGGTTGGAAATTTCTTTATAAGAAAGCGACACATATACAATTTGGGAGAGAGGATGATGTCAGCAGTTTTCTATTTCAGTAATAGTTAGGCCCTATTCTTTTGAGCTGTTCCGCTTTGCTTTGCCCTGCTCTGCTCTGCCAAAAAATATTAATTAATATTAAATAAACATAATAATAATAATTAATATTTATAGATAATAATAATTAATATTTAATAATAATAATAATTAATATTTTATAATCATAATAATAAATATATAATATTAATTGATAATAATAACTAATATTTAATGATTATAATTAATATTTTATATTATTTAACACATTTTCTAATATTATAATAATAATAATAACAACAACAACAACAATACTAATAATAATAATAATAATAATAATAATAATAATAATAAAATAATACGATAATAATAATAATAATGTTAATGATAATGATAATGATAATGATAATAATAATAGTAATAGTAATAGTAATGATATTTATAATATAATAATATTATTAATATTATCATTATTATTTTTATTATTAATATTTTTAATAATATTATTAGTATTATTACTATAATTATTATCGCATTATTATTATTATTATTGTTATTATTATTATTATTATTACTACTATTAGTATTATAATAATAATAATTATTATTATTTTAATTATTGCATTATTATATATTATTATTATTTGATTTATTTACTCTTTTTATAACATTAAAAAATGTGTTAAATAATATAAAATATTAATTATTATTATTATTATCAATTAATATTATAAATTAATTATTATTATTATAAATATTAATTATTATTATTATTATTTAAATATTAGTTTTTATTATTAAATATTAATAATAATAATTATTATTTTTATTAAATATTAATTGTTATTTTGAGTAATTATTATTTTTAAGTAAAACAATGTAGGGGAAGGCAGGCAGGATAAAACAGATTTCAGCAGAGTAGAGCAAAGTAGAGCGGCTCAAAACAACGGGACATAGTGTTATATTCTAATTTTTCCTTTTTTTTTTATTCATTATGTCTCTTACCTTCAAAAATGGTCTAAAAATCCACAATTTACTAAGCAATGTTATTTTTTCCAACGACTCCGTATCAAAGTATTCACTCTGCGTCAATAGAACATCCACATCACACCAACAATGGCGTTGCGAGCTTTTACGAGAGCTTCGCGCTCTAAGCTTTTGCCTCTTCTGTCTTCCGTTTCTCGTCTGCATTCCCACGCCACTAGTTTCGGTAAATAATCACCTTTTTCAATTGAATGCTTGTGTGAATAATCATCGTTTTTTGCTGATTAAATTTGGTTATTTTGCTGTTTTTGATTAATTTTCGTTCTGATCTCAATTTCTTGCTAATTAAATTTAATAGGTTTAAGGGGAAGTTAATTGAATTCTAGTGATCCTGATTTGAAATTCGTAGATTATGCTGCACTTAGTGACCAAATTTTACTCGTATGCCGTCCGTTGGTTAAGTTGTAATCGCCTCGTTTCGTTTTGACCTTACCGTACCACACATTGAATAATGCTACAAATTTAATGTTCCTTCCATTTGGAATTAATAGCCGCGTTGATAGTGTAGTTTGAACTAGCAATGTGAGTACCAAATTTGTATGAAATGACTATTTTGAATATTTGTGTAGTGTTACCAGTATATTCATATCTAGTGGGATTGTCATTTGAATTTTTTGGTTTAAAAAGAGTTGATGGGTGTATGTAATCTGATTTAGTTTTCTTCTTTAATTGCTGTTTGGTTTGACATCTGAGGATTCTTGAATATGAGGCAAGTATGAATACGCAAAAGGATTTAGTATGTGGTATGTCAAACATCATGAAACCAAAATAGCGGTTTTTATCCCATACAGTGTTTCATAATGAATCCCATTTATGTATATCACAATTTTAATAGCGTTGGAGAGTTATTAAATGGCACATTTTCAATTGGGTAGGAACCAACCGGCTTTCTAGTGTGATACCTTTTTCTGGGTTTCTGCAAATTTGGTTGAATGGCTGTCTACAGTGAGATCCTAATGCAATGGATTAATTGTTGGTTTTTATTTATTTATTTATTTTTTTACTTTGTACTGCTTACAACCACGCAATGAATCCACAATCTTTTTAATTTCTTTCAGGTTTTATGGAAGTGCGTGAAGAGGAGAAAAGTCAGATGGTTGGAAATGTCTTTTCAAATGTTGCTTCAAGTTATGATTTGATGAATGACTTAATGAGTGGTGGTCTGCACAGATTATGGAAAGATAGGTTTGTTTCTGATTGTAGTGGACTAGTCACTGAAGTTGCGTATCATTTACAGTGTGATTTAATTAGGGCATTTAGGGGAAGAGACATCGAGGGCCCCATTTTGTAACTGGTTTGTATGTGGAATGACGGGAGTTTGGAGGGAAGGGACATGGAGGGATCCAATCAAACTTTTCTAATGTTGGAATGTTTGGAAGGAAATTGGAAGCCTAACTTTTCCCCCTCCTTTTCTGCCTCTTTACCCTCACCTCCCCTTCCCTCTATGATTTCTGATCAAACTCATTATCAGCTGTTAATCTGTCATGGTTTTCTCTTCAATCGCAATCACACTGTTGTATCTTATGCTGTCAGATTGGTAGAAGAACTGAATCCATTCCCTGGAATGAAGCATCTGGATGTGGCTGGTGGAACAGGTCAGTTCTCATGCTCTGACTTGAGCTATTATTGTATGTATTGGATTCAGTACAGGTGTAGTAAAAGGCATGAGAGAAAGTATGATGATAACTGTAAAGCATGATCAACTTTAGGAGAAGAATTCTCCAAGCCCATGATTTGTGCAATTAGGAACTTGTGTAACTATTATCTTGAACTACTGACATCCTTACTGGTTTGATAATCTCAGTGCTTCCCTACTGGCATATTCTAAAATTATAAAGTTAGACAGTTAAACATTTGGTTTTCATGTAGTGATAATAGGAAATATCGTTTTGTGCATTTCTTGTCACTTAAAAGCACCAACTTGAACTTTAAGTTGTTTTCTTTTTAGTTTAGTTTAATTTCAACTATAATTTTATATATTGATGAAAGTTTATTCATAATAGTCAGTGGTGGACATTTAACCTGGAGGGATGGACTGTGGATGTCCCATAATTTGGCATAAACTTTACAACAAAAAAAAAAAAAAAAAAAAAAAAAAAACCTTTACTTGAAATACATAAATAGTTTAATACTTTTACAAACCAAAAATCCAAGATACTTGCACTACAAGAAAATATAGCAAATTTAGGTGCTTTTGGAAAGGTTGTTGAGAATATGGGGTTTTGAAAAAAAATTTAGACAATGTAGCAAATTTAGATTCTTTTCCTGTGACAATTTTTTTATGGTTTAGGGGAATGGCATGATATCTTGGAATTTAAGATTTAACGGTGTTATGTTTGTCGTAAGGCAGAGGAAAGCTTGGGGTTTGGTGGATGTACTCAAAATATAATGCTTTGGTAGAAGGGGTTTAGGGGGAAGTTTCCTCTTGAGGAGTGGTCATTCTAGTATAACTTCAATAAAAGCAAGTAATTTTGTGTTAGATGAGATTATAAGGATGGATGACTCACAATTGCCCAATGGAAAGTCGTTTCACAAGTTTCTTAGTTACTTACCCCTCAAGTGAGGTTCAAGATAGAGTTGGTAAAAGTATCCACTTTTGGGATTTTGAGTAGACGTTTGGATAGGATAACAACTTCTTTGTGCCTTATACCCACGTCTACTATTTATCCACTCTACATGCATGTTTTGGCTAAATTGCAGTTTGGTGTGGTACTTACACTTTAGGATCCCCCTTTCCCCCAAAATGATTAAGAGTTCTAGGGGCTCACCTCAATATGTGACAGTTTGGATATTCAATTATAAATTGAGGAGAATTTAGAGTGTTAATGGGAGATAATTCAAGGAATTTTGTTGCAAATCATTCCTTTTTTGTCTTAATTGCCCCAAATATCTTGCCCTCCCCTTAGAAAATTTATCTAGAAAGTGAAGGTTCTTTCTAAGGTGAGATTTTTGTGCGAACTTTAGCTTTGGGAAGTATCAATAGGTATGATTTGCTCCAAAAGAGGAGATTAAAACTTGCTTGTTTTACCAAGCTACTAGCGAGTCATGTTCTCATGATTTCCTTCAATGTGATATTGTTAGTTAGTTCCTTCAAATATGAAGGACTAAAGGACTGGTTTTGGATTCACTTTGTAGGGGTTTGGTAGGAGGATGGAGAACTTGCTTTGCTGAAATGTAGATGGCTATCCTTTGAGGCTTTGTGAGGTGTTTGGGTTAAGTAGAAATGACACATGTTCAACGGCAATGGTGTCGCGTTTGATATACCGTGGGATAAAGTCACTTTGGTGGTTTCTTTGTGGACTACCAGCTCCCCATATTATTCTATGGGATAAATAAAAGGCATTTGGCTAATTTGTAGATGTGTTTATCCATTATTCACTCTGTCCCACAAAAAAACTCTCCATTTCTCTCTTATTGCTTGTCCCACATAAGACTTTCCATTCTCCTTTGACTTGGGTCTAAATAATATTTTAATGTTTTCCTTTTTCCTCCTCTTATATCTTCTTTCTACTCCCTTAAAGAATTATGGGTCCTACTTTCTGGTACCTCACTTGAAAAACAATAAAGAATACCTGCTATTTAGTTTTGTATATACTCATACTTCACAAACCCCAACACCAATACTTTTCCAAAACTGTGTGTCCAAGTAACATGAGAAGTTTTGGGTGAGACAAAGGGTATTTTGCAGCCTTGCAGGATAACTTGTCTTAATTATGTACATCCTTGCATTACAAAAAAGTCTTATAAAAATGCATATGAATAGTTATTAAAGTGAAGCCTTATGTTTTTGTGTTTGACTAAACTTATTTTATAAACTCATCCAAAAGTTTTAATCATAAGTTAGATCTTTAGTTTAATGTGGTCTAGTCTTTCATCATGTAATACTAAAATGATTTTATTTAGGGGTTTTCGATCTGGGTACCCTTAGTTTGCGGTAGTTGATAAACCTCCAAGTCAAGTGATGAGGTACCCGGAAGTTTAACATTAACTAAAGAACTTAGCACATTGTTTCATGATTCCAAGAAACAAAGACTAATCCCAATCCATTTGTTATTTCCAAAATTGAATAAACTCTTTTTGCTACCCACTATGTACAATTATAACTGCTTCTAAAATTTCATTATTTATTATTGATATTATCCTAGCGCTATTTTGAAATTGTTGTTTGCAATTTGCTCCATTTAATTCAACCCTGTCCATTCTTTAATGCACTTGTCTAGTTGCTTACAACTCTAGAGAACTTGGGAGACAGAGGTGTAGGGGGAAAAAGTTTGCAAGTGAGTATTACAATAAAAATAGTAATATTGTCCATATGTTCTCGGATGTTTATGCCCTGGGCTTAGTTGCTTACACGTTGTGAGACGGGGCTACTTTCTTTGGCACTGTGAGGTATAAAGGGCTTTTGGATTATGTTGTTTTCAATTGTGGCTGGATCATTGGATATGTGGCGTGTAATGAATGCAATCATAATTTAAATTAGAAATAATTTTGTTTCGTGCTGGGTTTTTTTTTTTTTTAATTTTTTTTTTAAAATAAAATTCCATATCTTTTTCTTTAGCTTGAGGTCTCATCTTTATAAATGCACACTTTACTAATCAGATAAGGTGTGTAGAGCCTATAAATTATAGTCTTGCATGAAAACTCTTCCTCTTTATCTCTACCTATTTTGTACATATATTTATAAAAAGGAAAAATGAACCATTAAAACAAGAGGGAAGTCAGATAGGCATCTAAATTGTTGTTTTGAAGATTTGTAATGTGGGGCCATAAATTGGATTTAGTTTTGTAGTGAAATGTGTTGTAAGCTATATGTAATAGTTGCCTTTTCTTGTTTGGCAGGTGATGTTGCTTTCAGGGTTTTGGATTCAATTAAGCGCAAAGCATTGCTAAATGCATCTAAAGATTATCTACTTGAAGAAACTAAAATCTATGTTTGTGACATCAACCCAAAGATGTTAGATGTTGGTAAAAAGAGGGCTTTGGAAAGAGGTAAAATTATGGACTTCGTAAAAATAGTTTCCACCTGTTTCTTCTCATTTTGTATTATACATGATTTTCTACTTAAAACTACGAAAACTGAAAAGTTGTGCAATTTATTTATTTTTCATTTAGGATGTCTAATCTGTTTCCACCCTCAATTGATGAAGCTTATAAGGGAAGTGGGCTTGCTCTGAGTTCAAGAGTACCTGGACAGTTGTTTTCTAAGCTGCACTTTGCTTAGAGTTCATGTGCTTGGGCACTACTGCCAAATTTAACTATGTTGAAAACTATTAGTGAAACTGTCATTAGACATACGCATACCTAGTGAGTGAGCCTTGTGTCAGTCATGGCTTGTTTATTTGCAAAGCTCCTTAATAAGAGTTATTTCTTATTTTTACTATTATTTAATGTATCATTCTTTTTATATAGTTGTGCCTGCAATGGTTATGTCTCAACTTTTATCAATAAATTTATTGTTTAAGACTAGATCCTTATGTAAATAAATCAACATATGCAAGCTGTAGGCAAGCTCAAACCCAAACTCTTTAGCTTGTCTGCTATTCCACTTTACCCTATTCTTTGGCTATCTTGTTTCTTCCTTTTTTACTTGCTAAATCTCCTCTTTGCTCCTTCCTTTCTTATGTCAAGCGTATCTAACTTTTTGCGCTTACTGTTGTGATGTTTTCAACGGTATAGGTCTTGGAGGAGATACGTCTTTAATATGGGTGGAGGGTGATGCTGAAGCTTTGAAGTTTGAAGATAATTCAATGGATGGCTACACTATTGCATTTGGGATCAGGAATGTTACGCACATAGAAAAAGCTCTTGCAGAAGCCTACAGGTTAGTGATTAACTGCTCAAAGATAAGAGCCTTTGAATGTTAGTACATTTTCTAGATTAGGAAAATCCTGTAATAGCGCATTGATTTATTGAAGATATTGACTGGATGTACAATGTATATATGGTTGTGCACTTCCTTTTAAAGGGCCATGAGCAAGAATTTTATGTCTTATGTGGCTTTTATAGCCTTCTTGAGACTTGAGTAAATTCTTAGCCTGGTAAACTAGCGATAAGTGTCCTTGTTTATTTTCAGATTATAGCCTCAATATCAACTGACACAAAGTAGTGTGAAGACTGTGAACCACTGAATGGAATGCTTTGATTTGCAACTTGTTGGCTGGTCTTGCTAGTGCATACTAACATGCATTAAGCACAAGTTGCATCTGTAAGAGGCTGGATTGTTCAGAAATTCTATGTTTGTGAACTTATGATGTTAGTCAATAGTTTATTTTGAAACTTACTGTCACTACAAAAATGTAATTTTTAAGGATTTAGAGGTTATTTTCTGGAACAATTACATTTTGACTTCTATCATTTAATGAAGCTCTGTAAATCAACGTAAATTATTAAATCTACACTCAAAATAGCCCTTTTAAATAGCTTCAATAACAGAGGAGCTAATAGAATATTTTTTGGGTGCCACTGCAAAGTATGGTTTTTAGTTTATGAAATTGTAGATGTTTTCTTCTACTAACATTTTCCTCCAAACTTTACATTGGATACTTGTGTAGTTGTATGATTGGGTAGTCGTGGCATTAAGAACACCTTAGAGTTGTTAGCATAAGCAGCAATGTAATATGAGGTTTGCTGCATGGCTCATGCGGAGGCTCTCCTTTAGGAAACTTGGCATGTCTTGATTAGACCTTTTGCATTGTGCATATTTAGGCCCCCTCCCCCTATTTTTTTTTTCCTTTTCTGGCAAACTTGTCATCATGACATGTCCATTTATGAATATTACTCATATTGTTGCTAAGTTAGTTTTTCTATGTTTTATATCAGGGTACTCAGACGTGGAGGGCGGTTTCTTTGTCTTGAATTAAGCCATGTTGAAACTCCTATTTTCAAGCAATTGTGAGCATATTATGACCTTTTGCCATGTTCTTTCACTCGTATTCTGTTTCATTACTGCCACTTCTGGATGTAATGCTTATCACTGCACTCTTCTTCATGCATAAGGAGCTTTAGCTTCTTGATTGTGATCTAAGGCAACTGGCTTATTGCATAACAATTAGTGCAAAGTGCACCATATTGTTAAATGCCTTGGTTTTAGGGAGGCTTTTTGCATGCCTTTGACAAGACAGAAATCAAAATTACTATTTACACGCTGGCCTCTTAGTTAAGCAATGGTGCAAACTGGTAGAGTTAAAACTAATATGGTTCAAAGGAGAAGACCAGGGATGGCTGTTTCGCCAGATTGTGTGTGCTGTGTTGTGCCAATAGTGAGTCTTGCTCACATGATTTCCTTCATTGTGAGATGCAAGCAATGTCTGTAAGAGGCTGTTTTCTGTGCATGGGGAGTCCTAGGTTTTCCTCATACTGTTTATGAGCTGCGGCAGGTTCATTTTGTGTGCATTGGAAGGGTAAAGGAGATGTGGCGTCATGCTTTATGGTGATTATGTGGTGTCCGGCATTAGAATGGATAGTGCAACTTTTTTCAGGACAATTTAATTAGTGATGTTCTGTGGGATAGAATTACTTATTTAGCATCATTATGGGCTATAAGGAGGTTGGGGTTTTTAACAGGTAGGCTTAGGCTATGTTTAGCTCATCTTATATTTGCTTCTTTAATCTAATCTGAACTTATATTTTTCTGATTTGAACTGATGTGAATTTATTTTTTCTGATCTGAATTGATTTGAACTTATTAAAAAAATACATGTAGTTGGTCTAGCATTTACAATGTCCCACTGTGATTGGTATAATCTTTTGTCGCATTTTTGTGCAGGTATGATTACTATTCATTTTCTATCATTCCTGCCGTGGGAGAGTTGGTTGCTGGAGATAGAGAGTCTTACCAATATTTGGTTGAAAGTATCCGTCGCTTCCCTTCACAGGTGATAGCAACTTGCCATCCTTTCTTTTTTTAGCTGTTCAAATACTAAGAAAGAGTAATGAAATGCTTTGCAAGCCTTCTTTATTTATGATTATTTATGCATCATTGGTGGTGTAGTCATGCAAAAAAACTTCCTTTCTATCACAAAGGGCAATGATGTAGATAGGTTTCAATCTTTAGTCTTGGACACCACCCCAAGACTGTAACCTACTAAATTTGCATCCACAAGATGAAATAATAGTTTTCTAGCTAGAACAAGAAAGGGAGAAGCATGATCGTAGGTATGAAATATTCAAAGTAAAAAGAATAGGAAAATATACATGACATCAAACTTGATGTGTGTTAAAAAGCTTTAAACCATAAGACTAGAATTAGTGAGAGAGTTTTCATTGAGGAGTTGTCATTAGTTTTTGTTTTAAGGGAATCTGTACATTTATAGGATTTAACTAGGTTAAACCCCGTGCAATGCACTGATATTAAATAATTATAATGACAATATAATTATTTACAAGAATATAAATATAATGAACTGATTCACCAGGTATTAAAATGCATGAAATATATTAAAACGATAAAAACATACGGTATGAGATAAAATATTTAAATACTTGTATGTAATAGTTATTATGTGCAAGTTGATAATTTAAGAAGTTTTGTATAAAGGAAAAATTATAATTTAGATACAAACTTTATTTTTGTATAACAATGATTTTTTTTTAAAGAAAGTTTTTTTTGGAGGGAAAATTTTTAATATTGTTTTGCCAAGTGTCCTCCTAGATTCGCTTTTAGTATTATATAATAGTTTTGTTATTTACAAAAAAGATGGGTGGAAATACTCCTCACTTGGCAATAAAGCAGTGAAAGTTTAAAAATGTTGGTGTAATGTTATGTGAAATGTGTCTATATGTAAACCTATTATCATGTATGGATTCTGTATACATTTTGTATTACAACTAGTAATATATAGTTAGTGGACGCTGGACAGTGCTAATGTGCATACTCCTTTAGATCATAAGGTATTCACATTCTTTCACCAATCTAAAGATTCTTTTTATAAGGCTTTTTTCATGTTTGTTGAACACTTTCGCCATTGTAAGGCTATATCATTAAGGCTAAACTAATGCTTATATACAAGAAGCTGGAAAGTAACCATCTTTCCATGTACTACCTCCTTTCATGAAATACTTTCTACTTTTCATTTAAGGTTGTTTCATAAAGTTCTTCCCTTGACTCTTTCCTCTTTTTTTTTTTTTTTTTTTTTTTTTCAAGAAGATAATGTTATTTTACCGTAAATTGCCCTACTTTTGGGACCATTTATCTTATTTACTCTATCTCTCTCCTCATAAAGTAATCACATGTACTAGTATACATTATGTTATTTATTATTCTCGGTATGTGTATCAATAGTAACTAGGAAGAACTTCATGAACACAGGAACTACATAATAAGTCCAAATAGCCAAACAATAAGGAAATAAAATGTGTGAGTTGCAAGTACCTTTTGTCATAGACATGAATGTTTTATGCTCTTTCTCATGAAGCTAAGTGATTCTACGCTAGAATTTAGCAAATCAAGAAACCATGTCCATGTATCTTTATTTTTTAACCTCAAATATAGCTCAAGCAATAAGATAAACCAAACATATTTTAGGGATTACTCCCCTTAAAGGACACCCGGTATGTAACATTGTACAAAGCCATCTTTACAAAGCTTTCAAACAAGTATACATCCTCTGGAAAAAGGGTGGAGGCTTGTCAATCCCATCTACAACTACAAATGCAATAGATCCTGGATTATACTTCTTGATTGCAGCTGCATAATCCTGTACCCTTTCATAATGAGATGCATTACCATGTATTTTTTGTAATGCTATCATCTTAGTGGTAGTTAGCCTTATTGTACCTTATCTCTGCCCCAAATCTTGCATAACATTAAGGTTTTCTGTTTGAAACTCACACACATGCTCTAATCTCATGCTCTTTAATAAGAAAGTATCCTCCAACTTCAACCTTCCAGCGTGTACTTTAAATACATACTTACTGAGGTTATGTGTATTTCACCCTCTTCTCCTTCTTCCAAGGGCAATCACACCTTTTTTCTTATAATATGCTCTCACTCTATGGTTGATATGCAAATATAGTATTTATAACCTTTTTCAATCAAGTGTGCTGAAATGCAACATTTGTAGGGAATTTCAACCCGTTAACAAAACCTTATTTCAATCTAGTGTGTTGAAATGCAAAATAAGGTTGAAAACGAGGTAACCATCATGCTCCTCATCTGATCATCGTATACCTCCAAACTACCCTCCTCACTAGAATTTTCATTCAACTTCTTATCAGGCAAGTGTACTGTGCACTTCATCAATGTCCAAATCATAACTCAAATATTCTACCTCCCATCTATGCTCCTAGTGACTTTTCCAGTCTTGCCAAGACCAACATTACTTGTAAAAAAAAGCGTCATCTTCAGCATCCTTATTTTTAACCTCAAATATAGCAGAAAACTTTGTAGGGAATCAGCTTTTGATTTTTCTTTTCCTGGTATAACATCTATGGATATATATTAATTTTAGAAAGGACACTTCCTTTGAAATTCTGAATTTCAATACATTCCTCATTTGACTTTTAACACTATTTATCTACAAGTTTATAACCACATTTTATTCACTAATATGTGAAAATAAATGTTATTATGATATATCTCTGCATATAATTTTTTTTCTAATATAATAAATATTAGTAATTCATTTTCATGAGACGTGACTTAGTTTTATGCTGGCCACCACAGACCTACTGCAAGTCTGCAACTCTCCTCCTTTATCCGGGCTTGAGACCGGCAGTGAATGCCACAAAGTGACACTCACCGACTATGAATACCACAAAGTGGCGCTCACAAACGATTTATGCTAGCTGACACCAAATCATTTTGGGACTAAGGCTTTGTTGTTGTTGTTGTTGTTGTTGTATAATTAATATTAGTAATGAACTAATGATCAAGTTTTGCGTAGACAAATATGAAAGTAAAAAATGATGCATGTATCGAGAAACAAAGTATTATGTATGCAAATGAATTTTGAGTGCTTTACTTATCCTTTGTATAGGGTTTTGTCACATGAATGCATCACTAGAGCTTTGCCTAGGATTTTTATTATCTAAGCTAAGCTATATACTTGATCTTTGTAAAATCATGAGTTTTATTTATTTTTATAAATTTAATTTTAGTAGCATTGAGCCATCTCATTGCAGGTTCTTTACAATTTGCATCATTCACTTTTTCCAAAAAAAATAAAAATAAATATGAATCAACACTAACAAATAAATGTTGCTATGCTACACATTAGCTGACATAAGTGGCGGGCAAATTATATTGAATTTTTTGTTTTGTAAAGTGATCTAACCATGCACTTATGCAGCTATCAGTCCTAGTTTTTTTCAAACTGTAATTACTCTACTTTTGCATTGCTAAGTCTTCTTTGTATGCTTTTTTCAGGACAAATTTGCATCAATGATAGCAGAAGCAGGATTTCAGAAAGTAGAATATGAAAATCTTATTGGAGGAGTGGTTGCCGTCCATTCAGGAATGAAAATTTAGGTAATATCTATTTCTAGTCTGATTATCGAGTCTCTCAGCTAAAAGAAATCAAAGAAATTTTTAGTTGCTTGCAATAATTATAATACTCCTTATTGTCTCAGCAGCCATAATCACTTGAATTTTGAGGCCGAAGTTGAGAATTTTATTTCATTCACCCTGATATGCTACTTGGTAACAACACAGTTAGGTAACTTTGATGTCATTTGCCGAGAATCCAAAAACTCAAGATTACAGCAAATGCTATAGCTATACTTGAAGGCTATGACCATACTTCAAAAGATACATTCAAACATGTTAGGTTGAAATAGAATCAAGATAAGAGAAAACTTACAAGGGAGCTCTGTAGAGAATCAAGATCAAAATAGATCAGCTTAATGTTGCAGTTGCTCTACTTTAGTCAGTTTTTATCAATCTTTGTTTTGCATTTTTCATATATGTTCTGAAAATAAATTCACAGTAATTGGTTGCTATGTTACTCAAATTCATGGTTAATAAGTCTGTGTAATCTTTTACTGAAACATAGCAAATCACCGCATACTCTACTACTTTTTGCCATGTATTTGTAATATTAGTCCCATTAGGATTTTTATTTTTGTAAGAAAGGAAGTTGGTTCATGTTCATTTTATGCAAATGAATGGGTGATTTATTTTAATTGTTGATAGTACTAGGAAATTGTGTGCCTTGTGTCATTCTTACTTTAACTGAAGAAGCATTGTACAAAGAAGAAAAACTGAAAGATGGGCCACTAGGAAAAAACTAGCTAATTGACGATGTACTAAATAAACAAAATATGACATGTGGAAGTGTCATGAATGATGGTTTTGATGAAAAAATGTCATTTGGGCGGCGAACTTTATTTTAATACTACAGCCCACAGTTATGGAAAAGGATGTATGTATGACGCAATTTCTTTTTTTATTCTTGCTGTTGGAAAAAGGATAATATATACTTCGTATATAGAAAACAAATTTATATCTCCTAATATTTAACTAATTTCCTTATCTAGTGTAATGCAATTAGAGCTGTCAATTCGGGTAAATAGGTCGGGTTTGGGTCGGGTAAGTGTGGTTCGGGTCAACTCGGGTCGGGTCATTTCGGGTTAATGTCGTAACCTATACGGGTCGGGTTCGGGTTGGGTCATGCTTGAGTCGGGTAACATCGGGTCATACATCTTATCGGGTTTGGGTCGGATTTAGGTCGGGTTAATTACAGGTCGGGTTACATTCGGGTCGGGTGAATAATAGGTCGGGTTTAATTCGGGTTTTCACGGGTTAGAGTCATTTTTGGGTTCGAGTCGGGTTCGGTTTAAGTCAATAATTTGCGGGTTATAATCAGGTCGGGTCATTCTCGGGTTTGATTCGGGTTGGTTTAAGTCAATAATTTGCGGGTTATAATCAGGTCGAGTCATTTCCAAGTCGGGTCATTCTCGGGTTCAAGTCGGCTTCGGTTCAAGTCAATTATTTGTGGGTTACAGTTAGGTCGGGTCATTTACAAGCGGGTCATGTTCGGGTTCAAGTCGGGTTTGATTCAAGTCAAAAAATTGCAGGTTATAATCAGGTCGGATCATTTCCAAGTCAGGTCATGTTCGGGTTCGGGTCTCAAATATTGGGTTAATCTGGGTAACGGGTTGATTTCAGGTCGGGTCATATCAGGTTCGGGTACATTTTTTGGGTCGGTTTGTTAACAATTCATGTAATGACATTCACGTTTAATCATTATCAATTACTTCATTTATTGTAAGAGAAATAATTTCAGATAAGTTTAAATTCGAGGTAATAAGTTCTAATAAGTTTAGATAAGATCTACATAATAAGTTCATATTAATTCCAATAAGATAGGTTTAGTTTAGATTTTTAGAAGATAAGTTCAAACCCTATTCTAATCTATTCACATTGATTCCACTCATTTTAGGGATAACAATTTCAGTTAAGTTCATATTCGAGATGACATGTTTAGATAAAATACAATAAGTTCATATAAATTCGGATAAAATAGGTTTAGTTAGATAAGTTAAAATACAATAATTTTATTTTTCTAAACTTATTTTATTTGAAATTATCTAAACTTATTTATTTTTTATAAGTTTATATTCGAGTTCACGTTTTTTTTAATGGCATTTTTTTTTAAAACATTTAAATGGCATCATTCAAAACATTTAAATAAGATTAAATAGGAAAATGAATAATAAAATTAGAAAATAAAAGACCAATAAAAGCCTTTTAACAACCTTAGTTCGGGTCACCACTTTCTCGAGTCCAGACAAGTCAAGTCATGATCGGGTACAGGTAAATTATTTGGGTTAGATTATCATCGGGTCATTGTCATATACTCATGCTCGCATTCAATCATTATCACGTTCAATTCAATCATTATTCGAAATTATTAAATTTTTAACTTTTTTTTTATTTGATTATTTTTTTTAATAAAATATAAGAGAAAACAAACAAGCCTAAGGTTAAATAGTATTTGTAAACCGTATTTGACTACATTAATGCACAAGCACCTACAAAGTAGTAGTATTCGTAAACCACAATTGCTTAATTGAAATATAGAATGAACTTGCACCTAAAAAGTAGTAGTATTCGTAAATCGTAATTACTAAATTTAAATAAAGAATGTGCATGCATCCAAAAAGTAGTGGTATTCATAAATTTTTATATGTTTTTTTGAGACATATAAATTATAATACATTTGATAATAGAGAATTTTATTGAAAATATTTGAATAAGCTTAAATAGGAAAATAACTCATAGAATTAGGGAAAAAAAAAGATATGACGTAATCCTAGATTGCTACTTAATTTCGGGTCAATAACAAGTCGAGTTGATTTCGGGTCGGGTTAGTGACAGATCGGGTTGAATTTCGGGTCGGGTTAGTAATAGGTCGGGTTAAATTCGGGTCGGGTTAGTAATAGGTCGGGTTAGGAATAAATTGGGTCGAATTCGGGTCGGGTTTTGACGGGTTACAACGGGTTTGGGTCAATTTCGGTTCAGGTCGGGTTCGGTTCAAGTCAATATTTTACGGGTTATATTCGGGTCGGGTCATTTTCAGGTCGGTTCATGTTCGGGTTCGGGTCTCAGATACTCGAGTTAACTCGGGTCTAAGGTTGGTTTTAGGTCGGGTCATATCGGGTTCGGGTCATCATTTTTTCGGGTTTAGACGGGTCGGTTAATAATCGGGTTTGGGTCGGTATTTCGGGTCGGGTCAGCTTTTGACAGCTCTAAATGCAATGTTACTTGTTTTTTTGATTCGTCTTGTGTCGGATTGTTTGAAACTGATAAAACTGTTAGCACGTCTTACATCATTGCAAGCTTGTACGACAGGAAATGATCCGAGTCAAGGAGAGTTTTAGTTAGGCTAGCTCGAGCTTGAACAAGCTTTTAGTTTCTTATTCGAGTTTGGCTCTTTAAGAGCTTGTATGTTCAAGTTCAGTTTACGAACGTGCTCGTTTTCATTTGAGTTAAAAGCTATAGCTTAAATGATCGAATTAATTAAGCAACGAGCCTTGAGTTACCTCTAACTTTATTCATGATTTTGTCATCTTTCTATATGAAATGTAATGATGAATAATTTGTACATTTCTTACAAACATGTGTATGTACAAGATATACAAATAATGCTTAAGTAGATTTTAAATATTAGAGCAAGCTTTATATGAAGTTTATAAACAAACTCAAACGAATTCTTAACAAATGTCATCGAGTCGAACATAAGATTCGGCCATTTATTTAAAGTGGTTAAGATTTTTATTCAATATTTTGTTTATTAACATAACAAATGAGTTTTGACTGAGGTTGTTGACAAGTAATTCGTGTACATATCAACTCACTTACATAGCTACATGCTTCATAAATATAAACTACTAACAAATCATATTATTATAGTCCCTACAATTTGGGTGTTCTAAATGAGTTTAGGTCAAGTCGACTCAGAAAAGGTCATGCAGATAGGTTTTGGGTTGGGTCATGTTCATGTAAGATCATGTCAGGTCACACCTCCTATTAGGTTTGATACGAGCTTGTAGCTGGTCGGCTTGAGTCAATTTTGGGTCGATTTATAATCGGGTTTAAGTCAATTTTGAGTCAAGTCATTACCGGATAAATTATAGTATGGATCAGGTTAAGTTTAAGTCCTGTCGTTATCAAGTCTGGGGGATCATTATCAGGTCATGTTTAATATTAAAATAGAAAGTAAAATGTGATTAAAAAAATATCATTAAAAAATAGAGAGAAGTTACTAAAAAGGGAAAAGTTTTATTTATTTAAACACGGTCGGAAAAGAAAAACGTTTCAGTGAGGGAATACTTTATTAAATGGGCCAGATTATTTAAGAATATATAACCACTTTTTTAAGGAAAAATGGAAATAAATAATCCTACCTTTGATTTATCTTTTTTAAAAAATCACACCTTTAATTAATTTCAAAACAATCCCACCTCTGACCCTGATTTGGGTAAAAATACCCAAACCACATGACCCAATCAGAAGGTGACACGTGTCACCCCAAGAGAGGTCCCAAAAGGACCAATCAACAGCTGACACGTGGCATCCCCTATCATTAGGGAAAAAGGCGGCCTTCAAAGGCCCAAATCTCGAGCTGCTGTAAAAACGGGGCAACCCATTTACCTAGGTTGATAACCTAGGAAAGGGATGCTGATTCCCAATGCCCTATAAATAGGGACATTTACCCCATTTTGGGGGCACGTTCATTTATTACATCATTTATTATTCTCTCACAAGAGAGAAATCCCTAGATCTCGGGATCCGAGAAGATTCACTTTACTTTTCCGCATTTTTCTCAACTTCGACTCTTAATAATTTCATTGTCAGAGGCGGATTTCTGTACAACCAGAGCTTCCGTTTGCTTGCAGGTACAGGCGAAGAGGATCCAGTCTTGGTGACATAACTCTTTTGCACGACACGTAAAAAACCCCGAAACATTTGGCGCCGTCTGTGGGGAGAGACTTCTAAGATGGTTTCTAGAGAACTTGTACCATCAGCTAAAGACAAACGTCTGTCAACAGAGGTCCATTCGGACCATGATACTGAGTCGGATCCAGGGGTTGAAGTACATACGGCTAAAGAAGGATCCCTCATCTCTAAACGCATCCGTTCCAAAGATAACAGGGAACGGGCAAAAATCAAGCGGGTTCGAGCAAGTTAGCCGGCAAGCCCTAGGCTGAAGGGTAGACTACTCACATCACCTGTGAAGAGTTCGTGAAGTTCATGACAAACTTCAAAGGTGAGATGAAAGATCTCATCAAAAGTCAGGCGGCTAGTCCAAGCAAAGGACAGTCGGCCAAGAAACCTTCTATTCCCAAGCCGGGCAACTCACTCCACATCCAAAGTAAAAGGAGGGGGACTGGCCCTTGATCGATTGGACGGAATTCCGTCTCCCAAAGACGATAAAGAGGAAGCCCATCCGACAAGTACAACCGGATGGCAGCAAGAAGACTTTCACTGATGCTCGGTAGATCATCAAGCACAGGAGGAACAACCAGCTATCTAACACGGCATCTACGCCGAAATTGCCAAACAGCTTCAGGAATGCCTCACTAAGGTATTCCCAATCAGCACAGGAACACCCGTCAGGCGGCCAGTCCGTTCATACAGGTCCCAATGTGATAGGCTCGGCGCCGTATGTGCC